TATGACTTGTGTGTAAAATTTGGGGTCATTCCGAGTTGTTTAGGCATGTGCGGTGTAAGTTTGGAATTCGAAATTTGGATTAGTTCATTAAGTTTGAATTGAGGTGTGATTCATTATTTTATTGTTATTTTGTGTGATTTGAAGCCTCAAGTAAGTCTGTGTTATATTTTGGGATTGGGTGGTGTGTTTGGACTGGGTGTCGTGGGGCTTGGGTGAGTTTCGGATGAGCTTCATAGCATTTGTCCTTGGTGGACATTTATGTTCTGATGTTTTTGCACTTGCGAGGTCAGGACCGCATGTGCGAGTCTGCAAATGAAGATGGTTGGCCACAGATGTGGAAATGGGAGGGAAACAGCTTGGTCCGCAGCTGCGAAGGACCTTCTGCAAATACGATGGCAGAGATGCGCATCCTTGACCGTAGAAGTGGCTCCGCATGTGCGAGGTATTGGTTCGCAGAAGAGAAATCTTGGGACTTAAGTGGATTCTAGATCTGCGATCGTTTTCTGCAGATGCGGCATCGCAGAAGCAACCTATGGGCCGCGGAAGCGAAAGTGCTGGGCAGAATATATCTTGAGTGAAACTTTAATTACATTTATCATATTTTTAGATTGGGAGCTTGGATTTGGGCAATTTTTAGGGGGTTTTCACGATTTGGTTTGGTGTAAGTATTTTTGACTCGGATTTGATTATTATTCGTGATTCCGACCTTGATATTAAAAATTGAATGACGAATCTTAGTGTAAAAGGTTGGAGATTTTAGTAAAAACTTATCTAAAGTGTAAATTTGGGATTTAAACCCCGATTTTGGAGTCGGAATTGGATGAAACGTATATGGTCAGACTCGTATTGGATTGGGTATTTGGAATTTGTGAGTTTTGTTGGGTTCCAGGGTGCGGTCTTGTCATGCTCCAAACCAGGGGAGGCGTGGCCGGTACCTGGTGCCATACTCGACCCGAGCGTACCACTCTGTAACTGTGAACTCTGGAGGGGTAGTCCTCAACTTAGGCCGACGAGGCCTACCTACAAGTTGACAATACCAATCAAGATCAACGAGGTTGCCATAACTACTACTGACAAACCAAAAGAATATAAGTACAGTCCTACAAGGCCAACATACTGCACTGACTAACATGATATGTCTACAAGCCTCTATTGATGGTTGTACTGTGGTCGGAACAGAACCTCAGTCTACCCATATATATATATATATATATATATATATATATATACACACACACACACAAAAAAACACACATACGCACACACAACCTTAGACCCAGCAACTCCGAATGACGTGGAGCTTACTGATCAAGCTGAACTCGGAGAGCACCTACTAAGGAGGTCTAATCGTCTATCTATCTGAGCCTGCAAGCATGAAATGCAGCATCCCCAGCAAAAGGAACATCAGTACGAAATATTGTACCGAGTATGTAAGGAAATAGAATAACTGGAAGTTGAGACTTAAATGATAATATAATAACTAAAAGTAACTAGGTGTCAAAGATGATCTAAAGATATTCTTACTTGCTGATACTAAATCCACTCTCTCAATATAGTACGTAAAATAGTTGTCCGCTCCTATAAGGATCGGTACATGTAACTGCTTGGCCGTAAGGCTCGCTCGTAGGCGCTCGGCCACAGTAGGCTCGGTATATAACTTACCATCAAATCTGAGGTTGCCCAATAGGGGCCTGCCCACTGATTATAGCTCGATGGTGGTAAAATACTATGTGTCTATATATATATATATATATATATGGAAACCCATCACAGAGATAAGTTTGTTCTTCAAAGACTTATGTTCTACCACATTAAGGGAAGAAAACCTATTTCAAATGAATTGAAACATTCCTATAATCAGTAATAAGTTGGAAAGGATTTTTCCATGTGGTTTCTTTGATGTGATGGAACACCTTCCAATTCACCTTGTACACAAGGGTGACTTGGAGGGCCGGTTCAATGGAGGTGGATGTATCCATTCGAGAGGTAATGATCAAACCTTGATTTATTCTTGTTATTTTCTTTAACGTTATCATCTAATATGATAATGTGCAGGACATCAGACCAAAGTATTCCTTCTGCTCTGCTCGAAAGGAGAGCAAGAAGCCTTCATGGGTTCTACCATATTTATGGGACGATCTGCTGAGGTAGGGAACCACCGAGAAATTCGAGAAGAGGAGTAAACAGGGAAAGAAGGCCCGAACATCTGAGAATGGTGGCTCCTTGCACTGTGTGGGTGCAAGGAGCATGGGGACTGCGAGGAGGCTATTGGTAATTCCTTAAAATATTTACATCTATTTTTATCGAACTATATTTATATATTTCAATTTAGTTAACATATTTTATTATATTTGTAGGAAAAAATATGGGAGGAATATGACTCATGATGAGTTCTTCGTGGAGACTCACATCCCGAAAAAGAAGGCACCAACAGATCCATCTAGATGGGTCGAGGACCAGGCGGAGACTGCATATATTAAGTTTTATAACTACTATAAATTGAAATTAATATTATATAGCTAATACTTTTTTATCTTCTAAATAAAGGGTTGCTACAAGATTAATGAGGAGTACACTCAGAGCTTGCCACTGATGAGCAAGGCGAGCGACCACCCCTTTTAGACGAAGAAGCACAGAGGATATGGTTGGATGTTGTCGGTGTTCCTAAAAAGGAGATAGCATACGGCCTTCCAGAGAGATCATTTTGGTGCTATAGGGCTGGATTGCAAGGTATAGGACTTCCGCCCAAGGAGAGGCAATTGATAGGTTGACTCTCTCGTCTATGGAGATGAAGACCGCAAAGCTGACAGCAGATCTTGAAGAGACAAAGGCTAGAGAACAAAAGTGAGATCAATAATTTGGTACCCTTCAAGTTCAGCTAGAAAAGAGGGACCAACAAATTTAATCTTCCTCAAGGTCAGCTGGCCATCTTCTTGCTAGTGGTACTTTCCCCATTCCCCGGTCTCGTGAGCCTTCCCCAAATGCTAATCCTTCTCGTCATGATCCTTCGAACCATGCCAACGATGAAACTTCTAGTAGTGAAGATGGAGATGATGCAATACAAACTCATTGAATAGTGTGTATTGCTAAACAGAGTCTTGAACTTGTGAATATTTAGTTGGGAATAGTTTTGAATGATGATTATATTGTTGATATTATTTTGTTATTGAACATTTGTATAGTCGTTGTTGTGGTTGTTATTAGCATTGTTGTTGTGGTTGTGGTTGTTATTAGCGTTGTTGTTGGTTAATTATTATTGTGGTTGTTGTAGGTTAATTGTTATTGTTGTTGATTAATTGTGGTTGAATGGAAGCAATGTAATGCTGCCATTATAGGATGGATATTGGTTGTAATTGGCAGGTGGTGTAGCTTAAAAGCAGGCATATTCTGCCAGGTTTTTACCCAGAAGACCGACCGATTCGGTCGGAAATCTAATATTAATACCCAAAAATTTGAAATTTCCGACCGAGGTCGGTCGGTAATTTCAATTTCCAATCTCCAGATATTTGAAATTTACGACTGAAGTCGGTCGGAAATTACTTTTTAATTATTTATTTTTTATTATAGCAACCGATTTCGATCGGTTTGTTACAATTTACAAAGAAATACAAAATTATTATACATTTATAATTCCGACCGATGTCGGTCGATATTTTGAAAAATAAATAAAAAATAATTTAAATAATACCGAACGACTTCGGTCGGTATGTTTAATTTTTGTTGTCAGTCAGACCGTTGTATTGCGAACGCCTTCGATCGCAACACCTTAGCAACCATTATTTTTCCTATGAATTAAAAGGGATTGGAAATCGGTCGCTTTTCCTTTAATTTCGGTCGGTTTTGGTGGACAAAATTTGGCAGTTTTCTAATAGTGAGCGAGCACGGTGATATGATCTCAATAGAAAGGAAAATGAAATCTTTACACAACGAACAGAGACCAAGTCAGTTGAGGAATTAGGTGTGTTGATTGAAGAAGAGAAAGTTTTGGGTGCCCCACGGTGATGCTGAAAAAGAGAAAGTGAAGCAAATATAGAAGAAAGAAATTGAATGATGAAACATCATCATCTCAAGGAAGGTTGATTTTATGACGGTAGTGATCCTCCACATGCCAAGCAAACATGCTAAATAGCATGGGTTCTGAAGAATTTTTAAAAATTGAATTACTTGACAGGAAATTAAATGGTATTTCACTCAAGATTATCCACTACCGGCCGGAATGTTATTTTCCAGCAAGTCGTAGAGGTTGCAACTTTAAAACCCTTCTGCTCTTTTCAGTTGGAATGGAAGTACAGAGACAACCTAAATCAGACAGACTGAATTAGCACAAGATATATACTCCCGGTCCCGGAGAAGCAAAAATATATACATACATCCAGAGATTGTTAATTATTTCATTCTTCAAATTGTTCTTTTGCGGATAAGTAGAAGCGTAGATGGAGTGGAAGAGAGAAACACCGAAACTGAAAGTTTTGAAATTGTAATTGTCTAGAGCGTCGCAGTTGGTGGCTATTTATACTTTAGTCTTTTTCATGTTTCAACCGTCAACTAACCATTACTGTCCAGTGAAACTTTTTCTACTCGCTTTTAAATATGTGGCACAAAAAATTCATAATTTTTTAGACAGTTTGGTGGCCAAGAGATCTTGTGTTAATCACTCTCCCTTACTAAGATTGATCAATACGAAGCTGATAAAGCGAATTTCAACACCAATTGTTAATACTCCCTCCATTTTAAAAAGATTTGTAAAATTCTAACTTGAAACAAACTTTAATAAAGAAAGGAAAAACTTTTAAGATATGTAGTCTTAAAAAGCCATATCGTTTATATGACTATAAAATTTTTTAGCATTTATGTTGCTATAAATGCTTCCAATTAAGAAAATATTAAAAGGTATCAATCTTTTTTAAACAGACCAATAAGAAAATAGTGTCAAACTTTTTGGAACGGAGGGAGTGTTCACTACTGAAATTGAAATATTTTGGGAAGATGAAACAGATGGATCCTCTCCAAAGTGTAATTCATACTGATCATCATAGGCTGCAATTCTTATCCCTGTCTACAGACTCAGAAATGGCCAGTCTAATCAACTAATGGGTTTGTCTGTATAATCGTTGCAGCACAATTTCAGGCGACTGGCTACTCCCAAAAGCCAAATTCTAACAATTTTCTCCCAAGTTGAGGGACGGTAAAAAGATTCAACTTTTGACATGGACTCAGATGGCCCAGCAAGAATATTCAAGGTCCCAATTCCCAGATTAAACAATGGTCCTTGTATAACTAGCGCACCTAACCATACATAATAACATACTAAAGTTCAAATCAAACAAGTGAAATTGTGCACCAGTTATTAAGAAATATTTTTAGGCAAGCTAAAGGATTAAGCCCTTAGGCGAAACGGCCTTGGTAGGTTCGTCGTTTGGTGCAGCTTTTGGAGATTCCGAGGAGACGTGTACTTGAGCATCAGCTGAATTGCCTGCAGGGTCTTCCGCCAAACTTTCCTTCGTCTTCTGGCCAACTTCAGCTGCAGCCTTGGTAACCCGATTGAAAGCACCAGTTACCCATGATGTTCCAGTCAAAACATATCTGTTCTTCATGATGACAGTTCCAGCATTGTTAACTGTCTGCTCAGCAGCTGCAATTGCTGATTTTGTCTTTTCAGAAACCTGGAACTTCTGGTCAATTTCTTTCACTTTTTCATTCACAACGGTTGCTCCTGTAGTGATTTTCTCGCTAAGGCCAATTTTTTGGTCTAAAGAAGCAACTTTGGCTGAGGCAGTCGACGTGAACTGGTGTTTGTCGTCGAATGCTTTGGCCTTGTTAACTGCATCCTTGCCCAAGATAAAGCCCTTTGCTAACATGCTGCTCACAACATCTTCTGCCTTTTGAATAGCAGATCCAGCTCCAGCTACATTTTTTATTTCAGTTGCCTGCAGAAATAAAAAAGGTACAAACCTGCTATGGACAACCATGTGATGGATAAAACAAGAAACAATGCCATAAGTATTGAAATATACATACTATAGGTGGCACTGAAGCAGTAGGCGGAAGCTGGTACTCAGGGTCAAGGGCTACTGTGATGGACTGGTCAACAATAGTAGCTCCCTAGAAATCACAAATAAGCTTGTTAAACTAATATGTATAAACAAACAACAATTAAACTGTGTTCAAATTCAGCAACTTCATCCTATCACTACCATAAGACTTCACATGGAACAAAGAAAAGGAGACAATTTAAACTTGTGTACTCATATATACAACTGTTCTCTTTCCTTCCCATTTCTAGACAAACCAGGAATAACAACATCCAGGAAACATAGAGTAATTTGAACTTTAATAACAGAAGTATCCCGACTCCTTTTAACAACCCCGGTGGACTAGATAAGGGGATAAAATATAGGGCGGAAAAAAAATAAAAAAATAAAAAAAATAAAAAGAGGGATTCCGTAATCAAATAAAGTTATACTTGGAAGAAATTTATGAACAATATGATAAAGATTTACAGCTGCGAAAAGGCCGATGAAAGTAAACATACTGAAAGAAGAACTGCAGTCTCTGCACCCTGAGGATCCTTGAACGTGACATAAGCAACTTGAGACAGCTCGTCCTCACTAGAGAAAGAATATAAAAGTAACTTGAATGAGGCAATAATATTAATCATCGATCAGTTACCGTTACAACGGCTGCTTTTAAATTCTCATATGCAGATTTATTTCTTCTTATTTCTTTATTATCCGAAGATCAAACTAAATCTAAATAAAATAAGCTTAGTGCTCAAAACAAATCCAAAAAAGAAGAAAACACTTGCTACCACAAACACTTACCTTCTCATCTCAACAAACTCTAAATCCCCAGAGAATGAAAAGAACTCCTTGATGTCTTGTTGTGAAGCACCAAAAGAAACATTGCTGACTCTCACAGTTGTAACCTGTTACGACAAATAATTAAAAGGATTAGCATGACTTGAGAACACAAGACAAAGCGACTTCTTTCTTCTATCTCCTTCTTTTTGTCTTTTGCGTAAAATCTCATATAAGCTGGAATTTCACTTGTTGATAAAATGAAAGTTAGAGTACAATATCACGTATAAACTATTTACAGAATGGATACACTACTATCATTATATTAGTGTGAAATTTCATAAAACTCCTTCATAGAAGCAACTGAATCAAATTGATTCACAAACCTTGATTACTTAAAGACACCTTTCCTGTGCCTTGTCTATGTTGGGGCAAGATTAGAATGGTCCAATTGACTAAATGAGTGCAAGAGTGATATAAGAACAGAGTGTATACAAGTATAATCTAAAACAATTAGTAAGCATAGACGTGATGTAGCAAACTTGGCATTTCCCATGAGATCTGTTAAACCACCGGCAAACAGTGTGTATTCAAGAATGTATAATCTAAAAAAGTGAAATAAATTCTTTTACGTAAAAGCCAAGCCAGCAAGGATATCAAAGGTGATCAAAAGAAAATATTGCACTAATCTGTATAATACAGTTTTTTACTCCATCAAATGCTACCATGTTTCTCTCTTTCCATGTTGTCCACATTAACACTAGCGGAGATGCTTCTCATGCTCTCTTTTATCTGCCTTTCCATCTGAATTTTCATCCCGGAAGCATAATCCATCTGCAACGAGGACAATGACATCTGCTCCTCATTACTTACACATGAAGCACTAACTATGCAGATTTTCCTTTTTCTCCCCTCAAGTTCATCGTTGGTAAGATGGCTCCCCATGCCGTTGTAAAGGTGAAGAAGGAAGTTTTTTCAGGATCCAAATGATGAGTTTCCCTTTCAGCAATATGTTATATTTTTTCCGGTTCAAAAATAATATGACCTCACCGTGAAACATGCCATCCTTCCACCCTTCCCATATCATCCATATCTGCCTATGAATGAGATTTCAAGCTTAACATAACAGCCCGACCAATATCTTATGATCCTTCATTTCCAAGTCCTACATTTTTCTTCTAAAATTTAGATACAAAATTTCTCCTTGTTCATTGTATATCTGAGCCACTGGTGCTCTCTGATGATAAAAAATAATGGAAATGAACATCAATTGACCATCTCTGTTTCCAGAAACTCAGGGTAGTCTCTGTACAAATGGAACATTCCTATAGAAATCATCCTAATCATTCATTATGCTCCTCCATAGTGCTAAACTGTACAGCTAGGTTATTTGTTTGGTCATCCTACACCATTTAAACTCCATATTTGTGGAACTAGATCGTTCTCCAGAGCACTTGATCTACTACTCCAAACTTCCAATTCACATTCCTTATAGAACTCTGCTGAACATCCCCTCAAACTCTTGTCCCTAAGTCTCTCATCATCAAAGGAGAAGTGACTTATCCCCAATTGACAACATGATGACTTTTACACCTTTGCCACCTCGAGTTCCACAGAAAATCTCTATTTAGTATCCTCAAACTTTTTACCTGTCATTACTACGAACATTAAAAATTTGATAGGTCTTATTTCTAGACACGGTGCTCTTAATCAATCTACTTCCGCCTTCCAACAAAAATCATTCACCACCCTGATAACCTCTTTTCGACTCTGTTAATCACTCAACTTCATGCAACAAAGTTCTTACGCATTGCACCCAGACGTAGTCTGAGTTAAGCCGCCATAAAGGATCCAGACATACAAAAAAATCATTGGTCAATTGTTAGATATTATCCAATAGGTATAATTTGACACTTCTTCTGATTTATCCTGAAACCCGAGAATACTTGAAATGCTAGCAGTGTGCTCTTTAGATCATGAACCAGCTTATATGACACTTTATTCACTCTACGATGTCCTAAATGTATCATTTCATGCACTAATAAAAATTTCTATATGACTTTCACAAGTTTTAACAATTCAAATTCATCTAGTTCTCCAAATTTTGAACTTTGTATGATATTTTCTGTATGAAACTAATTTTGCTACTATTACTTTGAATTGTATTAGTAATGTATTTAAATGTTAAATTAACAGTTTAATGTGTCAAATCAACCAACCATTATATAAAATAGGACTAACACGTGAAAGCAACCTCAAATATTGAAGAACATAAACCAAAATTTCACTTTTCACCTTAGATTAAGGCAACATACATATTTTAAAAAAAAAAAAAAAACAAAGTACAAAGTACAAATTACAGATTGCAATTTACAGAATTATAGATTGAAACAAGTGTTTACTGTTTATGTAGAAAATATAATTAGCATATTTCCAAAGCTGATTATGCTATGACAATTAACTTAACTTTATATCTTTGATTTATATTAGAAACAAAATGGCAGAGGATTTATCCCGTGGTAATCGAAAGGATCCCAGTTGGAAATATATTCACTTGAATGATCCCAATGATACCACGAGAGTTACTAGTAATTTTTGCGGATAAACAACTACGGTATAAATCGGGCAAAACAACATCTAGTTGGAAATTTCAAAAATACAATAAAGTGTACCAGATGTCCTCCGGAAGCTCGGGAAGAATTGAAAGCTTACATGGAGGAAAAAAATAAGTAAGGAAAGATATTTCTGCTACAGCGTATCTTAAACATGATGAGTTTGATTATTAAGATGTTTATGAAGAGGATGAAATCATTCCTAAAAGAAAAGGTGGCGGCGGAAGCCTTCCTGGTGGACTTAGTAAGAAATTAGCTAAGGGTAAAGAAAAAGGACCAATGGGTGCATACTTGCAAGGTCAAGGGCAACTTAGGCAGACATGTATCAAAGATTCATATGACAAAAAAGCAAGAGCAATGGCTATTCAAAAAGTTGCTCATCTGAAAAGCACTAAGAAGGCTATTGATGCTATTGAAAGGTATGGACCAACCAAATTTGAAGCTTCCAAGTTAACATGAATTAAGGGCTCCATTACTAAATAAGGAGGTAGAGTTGACTAATCAACTTTTAAATAGACATAGAGAAGAATGGGTAAAGCATGGATGTTCCATTATGGCAGATGGATGGACAGATAGGAAGCAAAGAACATTAATAAACTTTTTGGTGAATTCTCCATGTAGTACAATGTTTATGGAGTCCATTGATGCATCTTCATTTGTCAAAACTGGAGAGGACTATGTGAGCTACTTGATAGATATGTGGAGCGTGTTGAAGCAAAATGTAGTTTAAGTTGTAGTGATAATGGCAGCAACTTTATATTGGTTGATAAGTATTTACTTTAAGAATACTCAAGTTCTGATTTCTCATATATGTTACTATATAATATAATTAAGTATTCTCTTTTTATTTTAGGTCAACTCCTACAAAAAGAGAAAACACATATACTGGATGCCTTATGCAGCTCATTGTATAGATCTTATTGTAGAAGACATAGGCAAGCTTCCAGCCATTAACAGAAGTATAACCCTCAAAAAAGCAATTGCAATTGTTAATATCATCTATGGTCATACATGAGTCATTAATATGATGAGAGACTTCACAAAGATAAAAAAAATTGGTGAAATACGGAATTACTCGATTTGCCACGAGTTTTCTAACTTTGCAAAGGCTACATAATCAGAAGACTAAATTTGCGAACCATGATTACATCTGAGCATTGGATAAATAGTAAATGGCCAAAAAAACCAGAGGGTAAAGTTACAACTCATACTATATTGATGCCTGCATTTTGGAATCAAGTTGTTTACATATTGAAGATAATGGGACCTCTTTTATAAGTTTTACGATTAGTTGACAAAGAGAAAAAGCCTACTACGAGATATATTTAGGAAGTTATGGATAGCGCTAAAGAAGCCTATCACAAAATCATTTGAGGAGAAGTCTACAAAGTACAAAGATATTTTTGAGATCTTTGATCAAAGATAGGAAAGCCACTTGCATCAACCGTTACATGCAGCTGGACATTATTTGAATCCAGAGAGAATTGTAAGGAAGTAACGAATGGACTATATGCTTGTATTCAAAAATTGGTTCCGTGTATTGAAATTCAAGATACGAATGTATCTGAATTACCATTATATACAAGAGCTGAGGGACAATTTGGACTTCCAATGGCAAAAAGATCAAGAGCAATGAGGTCTCCAGGTACATGAAAATTCAATGTTTACAACTAACAATTCAAGGCTTCACGTACAATATTTAATTACACTAAGTTACTTATATCTTTTTCAGCTGAATGGTGGAATCTATATGGAAATCCAGCCCCTCATCTCCAAAATTAGCAATTGGAATCTTGAGCTTAACCGTTGGTTCAGCGGGTTGCGAGCGTAATTGGAGTGTGTTTGAACATGTGGGTTACATATAACTATTCCTTATTTTAATTTATTTGGTTAATTAATACAAACTTACAATGTTACTAACAGTAAATAAAATAATTCACGTGCAGATCCATAGCAAGAAGAGGAATAGATTAGAGCATAAAAGATTGCATGATCTAGTGTATGCCAAGTATAATTGTGCTCTAAGTACTCGCTTTGACTTGCGGAATATCATCGATCCAGTCTCATTGGATTATAGTGATCATAGTAATGAGTGGTCGGTTGGAGAAATGGGGGTAAGTTTTGAAGCAGAAGATGAATTGGTGTTTGAGGGAGATGATAACTTAACTTGGGGCGATGTGGCTAGAGCATCAGGAATTGAAGATGCGCAAATGTAACGATCCGACAGGTCATTTTGCTTTCTAGATCCTCGTTCCCCTATTTAAGACTTTTTGTATGTGCTTTTATTGTTTTATGACTAGCAGGGATGGTTGGTTTGGCTTTGGAAGGGTTCGGGTTGAATTCGGAATACTTAGTTATAGTGGCCTAAGGTGGCCAAGTTTGACTTGAGTCAACACTTTAAGTAAACGACCTCGGAATCGGGATTTGAACAATTGCGAAGCCACTTGTTCATAAGGGTGGTCAACTGACCACCCTTTATCGGAAAATTGCACTATGTATATAGGTAAAATCTTATGTTTTAAAGGTATATAACACATATTGAACACCCTTTGTCGGAAAATTTTTTTCACTTATTTCAAATTTGAATACCCTTGGGAAAATTCCTAACTTCGCCACTAGATTTGAAGGTCTCAATAGGTTCGTACGATGATTTTGGACTTGCACGTATGCTTGGATCGAGTTTCGGGTGGACCGGGAGCGTTTCGGCGCTTATTGTTGAAAGTTGGCGTTTTGAAAGTTTTAGAGTTTTCTAAATTTGATTTTGAAGTAGACTTTAGTGCTATCAATGTCTGTTTGGGATTCCGAACCTTGGAATAGGTTCGCATTGTGATTTTTGACTTGTGCGTAAAATTTGGCACCATTCCGAGTTGTCTAAGTATGGTTCATCGCATTCGGAGTTGGTTGAAATGAGTTTGAGGTTTAGAAGTTGACTAATTTGATTTTGAGGTGCGATTCTTGGTTCCGATGTTATTTTAAGTGTTACGAGACTTCGAGTAGGTCCGTAGTATGTTTATGGATTTACAGGTACATTTGGACGGGAGCCCGGGTGGCTCGGGTAAGTTTCAGACCACCCAGAGCAAAGTTGAAGTTGGCCGAAATTGCTGGTGTGCTGGCGTGCTTCGTGATCGCGAAGGTTGTCCCGCGATTGCGAAGAAGGCTGGATAGGAGTATGAGATATTGCTCTTCGCGAACGCGAGGAGGGCCCCGCGAACGCGATGGAGGATCTCGTTCCTCTTCGCGAACGCGGAGCCACGGCTGGAAGGCTATTGGCCTTCACGTCTGGGAGATGGTGCATCGCGAACGCGACTGGTCTGTCGCTAACGCGAAGAGGATTTTTAGTCAACTGGAACAATTGGTCTTCGCTATCGCGAGTGACCTTCAGCGATCGCGAAAAAGGTTCACCTGGCAGATTACTTTTATTTCGGGACTTAGCCCATTTCTCTCACATTTTCACTTGGGTTTGGACGAAATTGAGAGCTCTTTTGTGGGGGATTTTCATCAACATCACAAGGTAAGTGATTTCTACCAACGATGAGTTTAATACATGGATTATGGATAGATTTTAACATAGAAATTGTAAAAATTGTGGGATTTTGTTGGAAAACCTAAGATTCCGTAAAAATGGAATTTGACCACGAAATTAATTATGAAATTGGGAATAAATTATATATTTGAGTTCGTAAGATCATGGGTAACAATTATCTAAGAAAGTCAAATTTTATGCACGCGGGCCAGAGGGTGACTTTTATGGACTTTCCGAATTGGGCGGGAAATTACTCTAATAGTTAAATTATGAACTTTTGAGCATATATTGATTAGTTTGTACGACCTTTGACTAGTTTCGGATTGCTCGGCGTTGATTTCAGGCTACTAGTGAGGTTTTAAGAGCCGAGTAGTGAGCTTAGAAGCGAGGTAAGTCTCTTGCCTAATCTTGTAAGAGGGAATTATCCCGTAGGTGTATTAATTGTTGTGTGCTACTTGTTGTGGGAGCTACGTACGTATGAGGAGACGAGAGTCTGTACGTAGCTAGATTCATGTTTATGTTCGGGTAGGCTTAGATTCACATCATGATTTAAATGTGCTATTTGAATTTATCTTGTGTGTTTGATTTCTTTAATGTATGACTAAGATTGAGACAAGAATAAAATATTGCCCGAGACTCTTATTTTGGAAATTATGAAATATTTGATGAACGTAGTTCCGTGTCTTCTCGACTCGCGTGTATTTTCACGAGTGAGAGACTTTCACTATTCTTATTGGATCAGGCAGTTCGCCTCGGTAGGATTATAAACTATTCTTGTGGGATCGGGTCGTTTGCCTTGGCAGTGTTGTAAACTATTCTTGTGGGATCGGGTCGTTCGCCCCGGCAGTGTTGTAAATTACTCTTATGGGATCGGATTGTTCGCCACGGCGGTATTGGGTAACACTATTCCTATGGGATCGGGTCGTTCGCCTCGGCAGACTCGTACGTAATATTGAGATTTGATTTGGTATTGGTATCAGTTAATCTTGTGCCTTTAAGGGAAGTTGTGGTATTTGGTGATTTCATAATAATTCTTGTCTGGTTTATTATCGTTAATTACCTATATCGCTGCTACTAGAGTTTCACACCTGTTTACTTTATGTACTTCATTATTTTGACTACGAGTAAGTGTCAAGTCGACCCCTCGTCACTGCTTCTTCGAGGTTAAACTAGATATCTATTGGGTACGCGTTGATTTACGTACTCATACTACACTTCTGCACTAATTGTGCAGGTACTGAGACATGTACTACCAATGGTCATACGGGTGCATAGACGCATTTCAAGGAGACCTAGTGGTGAGCTGCCTTCCATGTTTCGATCTGCAACACCCGGAGTCTCCCTCTTGTCATATTTACTATTTCTGTCTATTTTATTTCAGACAGTAGTTATAGTAGTTTTGTATATCCTCTAGATTGCTCATGCACTTGTAACACCGGGTATTGTGGGCTTCTAGTGGATGTTCACAGTTGCACTTATTATTATTATCACTTTATTTCATGTATTATTCATATTAGGGATTTTGGTAAAGGAGAATGTATGATTCCATGAGTTTTAGATTTAATTTGGTATATCTAATGAAATTCCTGATTTTAAAGGTTAAAATAGATAATTAAGCTATAGGATCACGCGTTGGCTTGCTTGACAACATCGTTGGGTGCCATTACGACCTATTGTGGATTTGGGTCGTGACAGCAAACATACTCATACTCAATAAGACAAAGGAGATCATCAAAAACTTTGGCAACCAGTGCTTCAAGCTCTCAAGTTCGACGTATTAATATAGATATAGATGATGATGTTGGTTCTGAGGAATCAGAGGAAGAAGACATTTAAGGCTATAATTCTAGTGCTATCCTATTGAAGAAGAAGATAACATTTTAGTTGCATATGATAATATTAGTTATTAGAAATTTAGAAGAAGAATAGTTGGTTTTGTTTAATTGATAGTTTATCATATTTTTTCACCATAATTAAGCGACATTGATAAAACTAATGCTACATTGCTCTAACTTTGAATATATTTGTCATTTATGTTTTATTACGTGATCTGTAAACATAATTTACACCATGTTATATTGCAGTTTTTTGCACTAAAGCCCGCGCTTTGAGTGCACTTTGTGCTTCAAGTCCCAACGGCCCTTGTTGCTTTTGTGCGCTTTTCGCCTTTGACAACACTGGATTATAGTTTCCCTCAGTATTATATTTGCTAACCGTCTCAATCGCTTCCTCCTTATTTCTTCTAGCCTTTATTTGCTCCTATATTCTGTATCTTTAACTAGTCTTATTTGTCATAAGTTTTTGTTTCCCAAGAACATAAGTTAGCACTATCTATCAATCTTTTTTAGCAAAGACGAAACAATGACATGGAATGAATCAAATGCACTCTAATCAACCTTTCTCCTTTGATTCTTTACGGCTTTCATAACTTCAAAATGATGTCTGCTTGCTTTAACCGTATGAGCACGCACTTTAAGTTGGCTACTTGTTGGTATATGGACATGTAGGTCAGAGATTTTCTTTTTCCGAAAAGGTCAGAGACTGAACATACAAAGAAGTCGAGGCTTAGGAACAAGCATCTAGTTCAACCTTTCAGGATGGAGGAACGTAAGCAAACGCAGAGTGCATGGTCGGTCTCCTAGTACACTGAAACTCCCACTGCATGCACACCAACTAGGTGAGCAAAATCACCCTCCATGTCTCACAGTCTCATCAACTACAGTTGGCAGCCTATGACAAGCAGAAAGAATGAGTAATCCTATACTTATTTCTTTTGGAAAAGAGATAACTGCCTATGTACAGCTGTGGAAGAGGTGATCAAGTGATCAACCCGGAGCAGCCATTCTATAGCCTCGAACAAGTATACAAAGGGAACTCCAAACTCATCCATGACCAAAAAGGGGAAAGAGGGCAGGGGACGGCCCTTGAATACACTTAGTGCAAGACTTTTGTTTCTATTTTGAGCAGTATTTTTATCTTACCTGCCTTGATTATCTAATAATGAACATTACTAACTTGAATGTCGAAAGGGCTCTAGTTCATCCGGTCCATCACGGACATATGTTGACTTTGTTGATTTGTGAGGATGTGCTAGTGGCCCAACCCAGAACCAACCCAAAAACTCGTGTGCATTAGAATAGAGATCTTGGGAGGTCATTCGCAGATCATCCTAGAGACCAAAATTTGGAAGCAACAACTAATATTAGTTGTTCAACAGTACTGATAGGCAGTAGCTAAAACCCATGTGTTAGGGTATCACACAGCAGAGAGAGAAAACAACCACGAAAAGATTGAAGGTTAACTCAACAAACAGCAAAAAAGAAAAAAGGGAAATCTAGTGCAGCAAACAGCAAATGACCTCTCGCTCAAGCAGAATTAAAAACAAAACAAAACACACTTGATTGGATCAAATAGAACAGACGGTCACAAATGTAGGGAAAAAAGTTGATTTACAACCATAAAAAGAACTATATAAGGAAAAAACAGCAGCGAATAAATGGTTAAGGTACTCACCGACATTGAATAGCAGAAAGCAGACCGCAGATCAAAACCACGAACAGAAAGACTGACTTGGGGTATTCAAAAACACAGTCCAAGACCACTAGGGGACTGACTACACCTTGGAATGTCAACGTGAAACGTGCGAGAGAGAATAGAGAAAATGGACACACACACACATCGACGTGCAATTTACGAGGTAAGTGACATTATGGCGAATCTTTTTTGGTTAAAATATCTGTTAGGGGTCGTTTGGTACCATGATTAAGGAAAAATATTGTTGGATAAAAATTTAGTACCCCTTTTTCCTTGTTTAGTTACTAATTTTGGGATAAGTTATCCCAAAATTAAATATAGTATCGGGATAACTTATTAGTACCTGTCAGAGGGTACAATAGTAATCTGAGGATAAGCAGTAAAATTGATAATCCCATAATTAATTCAACATAATAAATAGTCAATAAAAAATAATACCATAATAACTAATCTCAGTATAACTAATAACAGCATAACTTGTCTTTAAACCATACTAAAGATTAGTATTATGATCCTTGGATGACTATTTTTTGTATAAGGTAAAATTAGTTTATATTAAATGCTCGAATGATGACATAATACGTGGAACTGGAGGCAGGTGGAAGATAAATCGAGTGGAAACCAAAACCGAAGACAACAGTTTCGGTTGGTATCGGATAGATCCCGAAGGGAACACGGTCAACAAAAGCAAACGAATGTTTGTTACCGGATAGCATTTAACGAAGAATACTCCTCATTAAATATGCGGACGTTGTAGAGAATTTTGGCATTCATGGCCTGCCGTTACATATTTGTCAATAGCCTCCCTTTATTGTCATTTAATAAGGGCTTGATCATGGGATCTTGTTCCCTAGGTATTAGCTATAAATAGTAGCTTCAACAACCATTGTAACACACGAAATCTCCGACAAAACTTATGCTACACATTATTCTCAAGCTAAATAATACTTTATTTTCTGTCTAATATTGTTCGGATCGCTGTCTCCGGAAGCCTTGCTCACAGAACCAGGTTGCTTGCTATTTCTTTCGATTTCAACGCTTCATTTAATTTATTTATTATTTTGGGATCAAATCAGTTATTTTGTAAACTACGCAGCAAATTTAATTGTACCGTTTTACGGGTAAACAGTTTGGCGCCCACCGTGAGGCTTAGACAACTGCGTAATTGAGTTGATCCTTGCATATATTACTAACTTGTTTGATTCTTTGTTTCATATCAAAAATCGAGAAAAAATGGCAGAACGATGTCAACATCACAAACAACGTTGAGGCGCAAGAAAATTCGCCTCAACATGATGATTCGATCATTGACACCCACAACGAGGGTCTGGTCCATGGTGGGCGTTATCCGCGACATGTGCGGGATACAACTCCTGATGATGCTGAGGACGAGCACGTTGCGGAAACAGTAAGGATCTATATATATATATAGGGAGCAGCAAAAGGTCATAATGGGCCATCTCTAAAGGCAAGACCAGGCCATGATGGAACTAAAGCAGGCACTATCAGGCGCTTCAAAAAATGCTAATGGAAGAGACCATGTTCTTCTTGGCTCTCCCGCAAATCAAACAGCTCAAAGAGTTGATAACAACACCCTGAGGGGTGAGGTTGGCTGCGATGGAGCCGGGGGGATCGGCAACGGATCTGGTAACGACAACGGCAATGATCCCTTCAAAATCGAACTCATGAGATTCATGAGGAAAATGAACGGGCGGATGGATAAGAACGCGAAAGAGTTCCATGCTCGAATGGACTAAATCACCAGTGTTGAAGGGCCCGAACTCGAAGAAGTACACCCAATTTTCGTTTAAACCGAGTGCAACACCAGAGGTGATTCCGAAACGGTTCAAAATGTTCCAAATTATGATGGGACTTCGGATCCTCAAGAGCACATCATAACTTATACAATGGCGGTGAAAGGAAACGACTTGGCCCAACATGAGAATGAGTCAGTCATGCTGAAGAAATTCGGGGAAACCTCACGAAAGGGGCCTTGACATGGTATTCAATCCTACCCGAACACTCAATCGATTCCTTTGAGATGCCCGCATTCTTTCATCAAGACCCATGCCAGGGCCAGGAAGGTCCAAGCTCGAAAGGCGGACATATTCAGAATTTCGGAAGGATAGTCTGAATTGCTGCATGAGTTCGTGATCGGTTTCCAGAAAGAAAGGATGTTATTAACGGTTGTGCCAGATGAATGGGCAGTTGAGGCATTAACTAAGGGGTTGAGCCCGAGGAGCTCCGATGCCTCCCGGAAGCTGAAAGAAATCCTACTCGAGTTCCAAGCAACTACATAGGTGGTTGTCCATAACCGTTATGAATCAAAGATAAGGATAGAAGATGATCAGCTCGGGTTCCCGACATCAACCAAGGGTTGGGATCGAGAAAAGAACAGGGATAAATCAAAACATGATTTTGATGCAGATCGGCGATCTTCTAAGGGTCGATTCTTTCCTTACGAGAGGGCCGAAGGATGCAACAACAAAGTGTTCTGGTCAATGGATAGGTTCACCCTCGATAGAAGAGCTGACCACTACAGAAATAACAGGTCGTTGTATGACAAAGAGATATCGGGTTCCCGGGATTCCACTTATCCTAGACTGTCAGAGTATAATTTCAATGTTAGAGTAGTAGAGTTGGTATTGGCAATGAGAAATATCAAGGAAGCACGGTTCCCGAGGCCGATGAGATTCGATCTCAGCCACATGGATCCTAATTTATGGTGCGAATATCACGGGACTCATGGCTAGCAAATTGGGGACTGCTGGAATCTGTGCGAGGAGGTGGCAACGCTGTTGAAGAATGGCCATCTCAGGGAATTCTTAAGCGACCGGGCCAAGAACAATTACGGCCGCAGTTGAGACAGCGCAAAACCACCGAAAATAGGGGAAGACCTTCCTCGACTAACTATGAACATGATTTTTGAGGGGAACGAGATCAACGGTGTAACTTTCATAGTAGCCAAGAAGACAAAGGTATCAATGACTCATAGGAAGAGACTCCAGGAAGTCGCCGAAGATGACATCACCTTCATGGAAGAAGACGCTGATGGACTTCTTCTGCTGCACAACGATGCCCTAGTAATTTCTCTTAACAATCTAGATTTCAAAATTAAATGTGTTTTGGTTGACCCAGGAAGTTCATCCAACATCATTCAATGGAGGGTGATGGAACAAACCAAACTTACCGGAAGCATCATTCCGGCAACAAAGCTCCTCATCGGGTTCAATTTAGCGAGCTTGACAACCCGGGGGGAGATCTTGCTACCCACGAATGCTGAAGGAGTCACGAAGACCACCTTATTTGAAGTGGTGGATAGCGACATAGTCTACAACATAATTCTCGGCAGACCATGGTTACATGAGATGAAAGACGTGCTATCGACATATCACCAACTACTGAAATTCCCAACTCCAAAGGTAATCAAACAAATAAGAGGAGATCAACTGACAGCAAGGGAAAAGAACGCGGTATCGGTTTCCAACAGTAAAGGAAATGAATTCAACACATAGCAATTATAGGAATCGACGCCTACTCCTAAACCTGGCGAAGATGACAAAGGGGAGGAGTCGTCGGAATCTCACCAGGTACCAAGGTATTTTCAGGTACCGGAAGAAACAAACACGACTAAGTCCACGGTAAAAGAACTCGAACAAGTGGCTTTGTTGGAAAAATTCCAAAAGAGAAAATTTCACTTGGGGACAGGACGCAACCCTGAGCTCAGGTCAGGATTTATTGATTTCCTTAAAGTTAACGTTGACTGTTTGGCATGGTCGCACGCGGATATGACAGATATCCCACTAGAGGTAGCCATGCACAAGCTAAGCTTGGACCCAAGCATCCCACTAGTAAGGCAGAAGAAGAGCCTAATAGCCGAGGTCAGAAACAGGTTTGTCAAAGAAGAGGTAACTTGATTACTTGACATCGGTTCAATCCGGGAGGTAAAGTATCCCGACTGGATAGCTAACGTAATTGTAGTTCCGAAAAAGAATAATAAATTTTGAATGTGCGTAGATTATAAGGACTTGAATAAGGCATGCCCGAAAGACTCGTTCCCACTGCCGAACATCAATCAAATGACTGACGCCACGACCGAACACGAGTTAATGAGTTTCTTTGATGCCTATTCAGGGTACAATCAAATTAATATGAACACAGAGGATCAGGAAAAAACTTTGTTCATAAAAAAATTTAGCACATATTGTCATAATGTGATGCCCTTCGGGCATAGAAACGCAGGAGCCACTTATCAGAGGCTTGTGAACAAGATGTTCGAAAAACAAATAGTTAAAACAATGAAAATATACATAGATGGTATGCTGGTCAAGTCTTTGAATGCAGGTGACTATTTAAAACACCTCCAAGAAATCTTCGATATCCTAAGGAAGCACAACATAAAGCTCAACCCCGAAAAATGCGTGTTCGGAGTTAGCTCCGGTAAATTCTTGGGTTTCATGGTATCATAAAGAGGGATCAAGGTAAATCCCGATAAGATCAAAGCCATCAAGGACATCCTAGGCCAGCTAACAAGCGTGAAATAAGTCCAACGGTTAACCGAAAGATTGGCCGCTCTAAGCAAGCTCATTTCTCGGTCTTCGAAAAAATGTCATCTCTTCTTCTCACTTTTGATGAAGAAGAACAATTTTGAATGGACTCCATAAGAAGACCTGAAACTTTATCTATCAAGCCCTTCGCTACTATCAAAATCGAATGAAAGCGAATAGTTTCTGATATACTTAGCGATCTCGGGGCTAGTGATATGTGTCATTCTATTCTAGGAGGATGAAGGTATGCAATATCCTGTCTATTATGTTAGCAAAATTTTGTTGGGAGCGGAAACTCGTTATCCGCACCTTAAAAAACTGGCCTTAGCCCTCGTAGTCGCCTCTCGAAAGCTTGGGCCTTATTTTTAGTGCCACCCGATTGCTGTGGTGATAACCTTTCCCCTGCGGAATGTCCTTCACAAACCTGAGTTGCCAGGTAGGCTGGCCAAATGGGTAGTTGAAAATAGTAATATTGAGTATAAGCCTAGAAAAGCGATCAAGTCACAAGTTTTGGCCGACTTTCTTGCCTATTTTAGTCCCGGGTTACTGCCTCTAGCTGCGAAAGAGGCGGTGATGGTGTCAGAAGTGACATCATGAGTTTGGACATTGTTCATGGATGGAGC